ATACATGAAATAATGACTGTGCAGCTTGACAGATTCCCCCTTGAGTGCTCGGCTCTGGGCTCACCAGTACACTGCACGCTATAGCAAACTACCCAAGGACAAGGAAGGAATCAACAAAAAGATTAGCAGTAAGAGTGCCAAGCACTCACATGGGACTGAATAGCACCTCTTCCACCACTCAGACTGAAAGTATTCTATTAGGGTGAGCTGAATAAAGAACCCAGGGAAAAAATGGCCTCAGGGAAGAGGAATAATCGGCCTTAGTCTAAACAATGTTGTAATCCTAAGGACCTTAACTGTGTCACTGCAGAGAGCACAAGAATAGTTGTAGGCAAAGAATTCAAAAACAAACGGGAGCCAAGAACTTTTGAGGATGATGGCTTTTGTTTACTATCTTGTTCATGGCAGTTTCAAAGGTACATACAAAGATCAAAACTTAAACTAAATATCTTACATACATTCACTTTATACTATGTCAGTTATATGTCAAATTAGTTAAAAACAGGAATAGGCGGAACGAAGGTTAAGTCATGAATATTTATAAACTTTCATTTTGCACTCCCCTCATGCTTTATCTCCTGTTTAAAAAAAAGTTAGTGTTTCCATAATCTTTTCTGTATTTCTGGTGTGGATCAATATTTACAAGTTGCTATTTCTTAGCAACTGTCCTATATTTGTAATTTGAATACTTGGAGTTGAAACGTCTGTTATAAAAAGCACTTAATATAAATGCAATCAATTCCAATATACATCATTTAAAATCTTAAAAGCAGGGGCAGGTATGGTGGTGCACTAGGTTAAGCTGCCATCTAAGCTGTCAGCATCCTTTATTGGCACCAGGCTAGAGTCCCTGCCACTCCATTTTTTCAATCCAGCTTCCTCCTAATGTGCCTGCGAAAGCACCGGGCATTCAGTTTGGAGACAGGGGCAGAGTCCAAGCTGCTGGCTGAAATATCTAATACATCTTACATTACATATACAACTATAATGCAAAGTCACTGGCTCAATGAGTTAAGACAAAGATGGGAAGATCTCTCAGTTTCTGTATACTCTCACAGGACAGTATTGGACACTGAAGTGTAAGCATATTTCAACAAGTTTATAAAAAATGTAGTAAAAATATAAATTCATCTAGATTAAAAAAAAAACCTGAAGGTAAAAATGTGTAAGAGATCTTCAAAACTTCATAGAAAATGCATATTATGAAAAAACTATGTTTGGGAGCAGCACAGTGATGCAGTGGGTTAAGCCAATGGCAATACTACTAGTGTCCCACTGAGTGCCAGCTGGAGCGCTGCCTGCCGCCCTTTTAAGGGAGCAGCAGCTAAGGAAAGCAGTAGGCTCCCGCACCAGTGTAGAAACCTAGCGGAGGCTGTACCTTCTGGTTTGGGCCTGGCTCATCCCTGGCCAATGCAGCTATCTGGAAAGTAAAATCAGTAGATACTTCTAACTCTGCCTTTCAAATAAACAAAATAAATATATATATTTTTAAGATTTATTTGTATTGGGCCCGGCACGGTTGCACAGTGGTTAAGGTCCTCACCTTGCACGCCCAGGATCCCATATGGGCACTGGTTCTAATCCCAGCAGCCCCGCTTCCCATCCAGCTCCCTGCCTGTGGCCTGGGAAAGCAGTCGAGGATGGCCCAAAGCTTTGGGACCCTGCACCTGTTTGGGAGACCCGGAAGAGGCTCCTGGCTTCGGACCGGCATAGCATCGGCCATTGCGCTCACTTGGGGAGTGAATCATCAGACGGAAGATCTTCCTCTCTGTTTCTCCTCTCTGTACATCCGCCTTTCCAATAAAAATAAAAATCAATCATTAAAAAAAATGAATTTATTTGTATTGGAAAGTTAGATATACAGAGAAGAGGAGAGACAGAGGGGAAGATTTTCCATTCCATAGTTCATCCCCTATGTGGGTGCCAACAGCCACAGCTGAGCTGATCTGAAGCCAGGAGACCAGAGCCTCTTCTGGGTCTCCCACGTGGATGCAGGGTCCCAAGGCTTTGGGCCGTCCTCTACTGCTTTCCTAGGCCACAGGCAGGGAGCTGGATGGGAAGTTGGCCTGCTGGGATTAGAACCGGCACCCATATGGGATCTGGCGTTTGGAAGGCGAGGACTTCAGCTGCTATGCTTCCGTGCTGGGCCCAAAATAAATCTTTAAAGAAGAAAGCTATAGTTGAGCTTCAAAATTTTCTGCACTAAAACATATTTATTGCAATTCTTTTTCCATTAACTTTTTGAAATGTACTTATAGGCATGAGCTGTACGGCTGGGAAGGATCTGAGCAGCAGAGAGTGATAATTACATCTCTTCAACACACACAGAATCAGTTTAGGCAACACAGCAAATTCTAGGACTTGAAAACCGTTTCCCTTCCTGCCGGTCTTTTGCTTTCTGGACATTTCCTATTCAGTTATCAATTTCTTATTTACATACAGAACAGACTGTGAATAATCAGAAGCACCCTATCTTCCAAAAGTTACGTTAAACTTTAACTTTGAACTTGTAACCAAATAATCATCATAAGATCCAAAAAGGTTTCTTTTGGCTGTTGAACTTCACCCAAAACACACACACACAAAAAGCCTGTAATAAAGCCCAATTTGTTTATCAAAGCTCCCCCTGTACAGTATTTCGTAAATAGAAAATATATTTAGAAGATTTAAAGAAATAAGTAAAAATGAGAAACTGACAATGGAAAGATTAGTAAAATGATGAAATTTCTGGAAGTGCAACAACTAATTGTCATGTATTTCACACTACCTAGTCTGAATTCCATTCGTTACAACTGTATCTTTATTCATGATTAACAGCCCTAAGCTATGAAATACACTAAGCCTCCTATTCAGAGCTGCCTACTTAATAGTGACATAATTTTGGGTAAATCCCTCAGATTCTTCATGATTCTGTTTGCCCATAAAGATAGTATCTAGAAAAAAATGTGGTGATGCATAACAAGATGACACATATAAAATGCTTTGGTTCAGTGATGGTTTATAAATGTTACTTTTTACCATCATAATTTTCAATTTATTACCTTTTTTTCCACCTCTTTCCTCATATCACAACCTTTGCTTTGTAGAAAGCTAAAGTGTTATTCTAAAGAATAGAAAATGTATTTAGATCATGTAAACTCTTTAAAATGATCATGCTACATTTTTAGATCAAAATTTTTAAATCATATCAACTCTTAATGATATCTGTACTCTGCCCTCCTAAAGAGTAGATTTTCTGCTTCACCAACTCAAATAATTCAATTTTTGCCCTGACTAGTACTGTGAACTAACAATATGGAGGTATTCCGAATTCAGTCTCAGTTCTGAAATTGCATCCACAGTAATGAGAACTACTGTACTTAAGGAGTATTATGACCACATGAATCCCATTCTCTGGTCTCTAAAGTTACAACAGTCACAAATGAGGAAGTTAGAGAACAATATTTAACTATGTGTTATTATACACCCTGAAGTGGAATGAACTTACTAAGCACATACCCTACTTACTGTGAGACAGAAGCAAAAAGCAAAACAAAAACTAAATTATTAGCATTTAATTTTTAGTAATAGCTCAACAAAACAAAAGCTATTTATAATCCTGACCTTTTTGCCAATACATGGTTAAGCAGCAAATGAGTATTTTGGAAACCTTACACTCTTAACGTTTGAAAGAGTGCATGGGAGCACTTTGATGAAAAGAAAGTGGTGCATTTCATGAGAATTCTTTTTCACTAATATCTTTGGTACTTACGACTACATAATTTTGCAACAACTTTTAAATTTTATTTCTAGTAAAGTCAGACAAACAGAAGAATTTTTTATAACAGGTAGACTTTCACCTGCCAAAACTTTCCCTTGGATTTTCTGTATTGCAAGAATTCTTTGAAAATAAGAACCTAAAAACTTGCAGAGAAAACTCTCTTAAAATGAGATAATAATAAGTAATAAAAATAGAAATTCATTATTTATGTAGGATGTCTACTATAAGAAACACACGAAAATCACTAGAGTACCAACAGGGAAATCACAGAGATTTATGACCAATAACTGAATTAACAGGCTTTACAAATTACACATTTAAAAAAAATCCCCATGCTAACATAATTACTTAAAATAACTTACCATTGTTTCAAGTATTAAGCACTTTAGCAAATTAAAATTCAAGTCATATCAACAGAAAAACAGGTGTAAAATGAGGGAAACTTTTCATGAGTCATTACTATGTGTTAATACACAATGTTTCCAACTACAACAAAAGCCTCAATCTTTTACTTAAAAATTCAAAAATTTCTGTTTTATTTCAGACACATGTGTGCATGGCAATAATGGTATTCTCCATTAAAATTATTAAAACATGTAAATTTTCTCTAAATTTTCATTGTACAAAATGGAATTACTAATTTTAAACTGATATGTTCTCAAGTTAAAAAAAAAAAGATCGCACTATGGGATTTTTTTTTTTCAAAATACAAGAGTTTATATGGACATACTTAGAACATTCTTACTCAAAATCAGGGTACAAGTGGCTACCTCAAGGAAAACATGGAGCTCACAGCTACACAGGTGAGTATCTTCTTATTCATGAGGTGGAAAATGCAAAGCCAGAATACCTTCACTATTTCACATATTAATTACTAAGATTATTTCCTTAATTTTTCATGAAGGCAAGTAAAACATAAACATATAAACTTGATGAAAATTTTCATAAGCTTTGACATAATACAAAATCACAAATTTTTAAGGGTTTTATACAAATACATAGTCAACCTTATCAAATTTCTACCCAGTTTTTTTCTAATAAGAGAGCTTCTGCTTCTAGAAGTTAAATTTTACCGGAAAGTTTCAAATTTATTTAACACGAAATGTGGTTCACCATGAACTACTTAAAATAAAACAATAAAGTCTCATTCCAAATGTATCTTTCCATTATTTCTTGAATGAATTAGTTTTTCCTTTTAAATTTAGCTTTTGATAATCTTAAATACAATCCGCAAACTTACAGTGTTAGTCGGGTCTTCTTGTAAAATTCGATCATACAGCTGTATAGCATCATCATATCTATTTAAAAAAAGGAAACATTAAGAATATGAATGCAAAATAAGATAAGTAGATTCAACTAAAGGGTTGGTTAAAGAAAATTACAGCAGCTTTACTTAAAACAGCTCGAAAGTAGAAACAAGTCAAATATCCTTTAAAAAAGACTGCAGTAAAATATACTTATATATATTTATACAATGAACCATTACTGAGCAGTTACCAAACATACAAAACCCAAAAACAGAAATCAGACCGTTAGGTGCCTGACACTGACTATAAAATCACACAGAGCTTTTTAGCAGGACAGAATTACTGTTTTAAATTTATTTTTGTAGGGAACGAACATCACCTATTTTATAACACAGATTTAGGAACATATTTCCCATCCTACTCTCCCTCTTCTCAGCATGCCCCTTTCATCCTCCTCCTTATTTATTATTATTTTTAAATTTTTGTTAAGATGTATTTATTGTCACAGAAAGTCAGATTTTTAGAGAGAGAGAGAATGAACATTTTTTGCATGTCTTAATTTCTCACATTTGTCTTAATTTTTTTTTGTAATACCATAAGAGACCTTTATCCAAGGGGCAGGTCGTATGACAACAGGTGCTTACGACACCAGCATCCCACAGTGCTGTGGCTGATTCAAGTCTGGGCCACTCTGCTTCTAATCAAGTTCCCTGCCAATGTATCTGGGAAAGCAGCAGCAGATGGCCCAAGGTCTTTGGACCCTGCTACCAATATAGGAGAACAAGAATGAGTTCCAGGCTCCTGGCTCCTGGCTCCTGCTTGGCCCAGCCCTAGCTGCTTCCAGTATTTGGAGAATAAACAAGTGAACAGCAGAGCTGTCCTCTGTCTCTGTCACTCTGACTTTCAGGTAAACAAGCTTTCAAAAAAAGAGTTAAGTTCAAGAAAATAAACAGGACAGGACAGCTCACTAATTCAACTAACAAAAAAAAAAAGCACAGCAGAACATAAGAATTAATAGTACCAAAGATGAAAAGGGGAACATAACAACAGATACCACAGCCATACAGAGAATAATAAAAAATTACTACAAGCAACTGTACGCCAACAAACTAGAGGACTTCCAAGAAATGGATAGACTCCTGGACTCATATCATCTACCAAAATTAAGACATAAGGCAACAGAAAATCTAAATAAACTTATAACTGAGGCAGAGATTGAATCAGCGGCATAAAAAAACACAGAGTTAAGACACCTTAATCTCTTGTATAGACTAGTACAATAGCTCTCAAGGTGTTTTATTTTTTTTGGAGACAATTCATTCCACACTCATTATTAGTCATCTTAGAGATAAATTCACTCATTACCCTTAAATTTCTATTTTCCTTGGACCTTCGAATCAAACTCTTTAGTATAGCACATAAAAATCTTAACACAACCAGTACTGTATCTCAGGTTCACCCATAAAGAACTCCATCACAACTTACACTCCAACTATAATAACTCCTAAATCTATTTCCTACAAATGTATAAAATGTTTAGAACCGATCACATCTTACGTTCCAACTACAATACTCTCCTGAATCTGCTCCCTGTACATGTAAAAAAAGACTTCAGAGTTTAACAATGGAACAATGAGATGGGCCATGCAGGTCTCTACACATGCTTGAATGAGAACAGATTAGCTTTCCTCTTTTCTTTTGCTAGGTTAAGACTAATTCCCTAGTGCTAAGGATCAAGACGCCTCCCACTTGCTTCATTTTGAAGTATATTTACACATAAATGAGTGGGAACAAACACTGAGAAGATGGAAATATTTTTATGAAGAGTAACAAACAGAGAACAAAAATAAGTAAATTGTCCATCTGTGGCTTAGTTGATGCTAGAACCATGATTTGAAGTTGAGTTTAGTTCAAAGCACAATCCTATTTCATTAGGTTAGAGACAGCAAATGTATTATACTCTTACATTAAGTTCTGCTTTCTAAGAATAGCTGGCAAGTTTGGCCATGAGTTTAACTAACAAATTGGAGAGCTCAAGAGCAAAGGACCTTGTACAGTCAATTAATGACGTGCCATAATGACTTAAGTAGGTCACAGAGTTCCAAAGATCTGATTACCTTTCCATGGCTTCAAATCTCATGCCTGTTAATCGCTTGACTCTGTGACTGCCAGGGAACTGTCTTCTTAACTCCTGAAGACAAAACTGAAAAAACAAATGTTTTTTAAAGCACGCAGAGTAATTACATTTTATATATACTAAATAACATACTAAATAAATATGAAATAACATACAGTCTTCAGTGTATCTTCTTGAATAACTTCACTAGTGCCACCAAATATCATGAACCCAAAGTAATCGCTGATGAATAATGGAGTAAAAGGAAAATAGGAAATTACAGTGATGATAATTCTTTTTCAAAAATCAATCATGCACTTAACTGAGAAAATCAGCAGACTGGGACATCCATTAACAACTCTTCAAAAGCTGTCATATTACTCTGTCTTAAAACTTTCTGGAAGCCATTGTGGTGGTGTAGCAAGCTAATTATCTGCCTGTGAGACACATATCCCATGAGCGCCAGTTTGAGTTACAGCTGCTCCAAAACTGACCATATGGACCATACGGATAGTAATTCCTGTCTCAGCTGCTTCACTTCTGATCCAATTTCCTATCACTGGCCAGGGGAAAATGTGGAAGAAGGCCCAAGTGTTTGAGCCAGTGTTTCCCACAGCGGAGACCTAGAAGAAGCTTCTAGCTTTGGCCTGGCCCTACTCAAGTCACTGTGGTCATTATGGAAAAGAAACAGTGAATATAAAATCAATCTGGGACTTTCAAAGAAATAAACTTTAGAAAGAAAGTATGACTTAAGATATTATACTCCAAATTATCTATTCAGTTACAATTACTCTTAAGAAAAGCATTCAAAGCCAGTTACAAACAACATTTAATCCAAACCACATCCTAAGACTTAACTTCTTATATATAACTCATGAATCTAATTAAATATGGGATAAAATTTAAATACCTACCAAGGCCAACTCATCCCGACCATGGTCTAAGGCCGCAATCATCACCTGTTCATATATGATCCAAACTAGACACATAAAGGGGGGGAACAAGCTGAATTTAATTTAACATTCACTGAACAAATTACATTAATGAATTCATCTAGCTTCTGATATTTTAAGAATATTACTTAAAAATAAAATTATTTTATCACGTAATTTCCACAATTAAAGAAAGTATCCCCACAGGCTGTCAGTGAAATAAAATAGTCAAACATCCTTTAAAGTAAAAATTTTGATTATTTCTTATCTTTACTGTTGTAAAAGATGCTTTATGAAATACATTTCGACCAGATCAGAATGTCTTTACGAAACAGAGTGGCTGAATGGTTGACAGCCTTATGAACTTGACAAAAAATGCCATTTAGCAACTTTACTACTACCCACAATTTTTAATCTTTTCAAAATACAGAAATTTCATAGAAAAATTCACAGATGTGAAAAGTACAAAAAAGCTCAAAAGATAGCTTTAAAACAAATGCAATCATAAATCATTAATAAGGCATGCAATCAGCCTAAATGAAATAAAGAACTTACTGTCATCTCCAAGTTTAGACGCATATTCATTAATCAATTCTTCTCCAACTTCCACAATTTGTTCACTATTTCGTGAGTTTTCTTCTCTCCATTTTCTCATTTTGTCTCGCATTTCTGAAAAAAAAATTTACACACATACTCACACTCATAATCTGGCAGATGTCCAAAACCTGACGAGAAGAAACCAATGTAGGATTCTCACCCTAAAGAAACCTGACCCCAATAAATTTCAGTTCATGACAAACTTCCTAGATTGTGGTATTCTACAGCAGCATAAGTGGAATCAAGAAAACACTAATGGCAGAAATATGACTTGAATAAAAGTATCTAATCCAGCCCAGCTCTTGTACTGTATTGCACTGAATGCTAATCTCCCCACAAATTGTTATGCTGAAATTCTAATATTCAATGTGATGGCATCTGGAGGAAGAGAAGCTATGAAGATCAAACCTTAATGAATGTCACTAAAAACAGGCACAGAAGTGCTGCCATTTTCTCTCTGTTCTCTGTCACGTGACAGAGGCAGGTTCTGTTAGAGACTCAATCGGCTAGCAGGTAATCCAAGAGTTCCTAGCCAACGTTTATTACAATATCTAGTCAGTGATAACATTTGTCAGAGCAGCCTGAACTTAAGACACACAGTTAATGTAGACTGTGTAACTGTCCAACATATATGCTTTCTTACTCTTTAGATTGAAAACCTGACATACTCATTTAAGTATCACCTTCCATCTATACACACAGATGCTGAATAGCTCTGCACAGCTGAATGAAAAAATTGTTGAAAAGCCAATTAAAATGAACAATGTTTGGTAACCTGAGGAATAAGTATAAGAAACACATAAGATTGTCACCTTTTATGGTCATTAAACTTAGGTAGAAGGCCACAAAAATAGAATAAAACGAAATTTATAATTAGGTAAAAATAGACTCCAACTGAATTTCATTTACAAAAGTGACTGTACAATTTGTAAAATCATCAGAAATTAACCTATGGTAAATCTATAATTAATTTCCTAATGAACCAACAAATCAGGTTGCCTTTAACTTCAAACAGAAAGTAACCCTGCCATGAAGGCTGAAAAAGCAAACCAGGATGTAATATCAAAACAACTTTTGGTAATTTGGAATTAAGGAGAAAGCAGAAATCAGAAAATGAATGTAAAAGACAAATGAGTTTCTAACAAGTCTTTCATTTCTTACAAAATAATTTAAAGCTTGTTTTTAAAGATGGGAGAGAACAACCAAGAAACACTGAGTAAAAGAAAAGCAAAATGATTTGATCTGCACACTAAAACAGTAATTCTGGTATAGAAAATAAAAACAGAAGATAATCTGGGAAGGAATAAAAAATTAAAGGAAGCCAATTCAGGAAAAAAAAAAAAAAAGAACAAAGACTTTGGAGGCTTAGTTTCTTTTTTTTTTAGATTTACTTATTGGGCCTGGCACGGTGGCGCAAGTGGTTAAGGTCCTCACCTTGCACGCCCAGGATCCCATATGGGCGCCGGTTCTAATCCCGGCAGCTCCGCTTCCCTTCCAGCTCCCTGCCTGTAGCCTGGGAAAGCAGTTGAAGACGGCCCAAAGCTTTGGGACCCTGCACCCATGTGGGAGACCCGGAAGAGGCTCCTGGCTTTGGAGTGGCTCAGCTCCAGCCGTTGCGGCCGCCTGGGGAGTGAATCATCGGAAGGAAGATCTTCCTCTCTGTCTCTCCTCTCTGTATATCCGCCTTTCCAACAAAGAAAATAAAAAATAAATCTTTAAAAAAAAAATTTTTGAAGTTGCAATATAAAAAAAAAGTCAAGCAAATAATCCAGTGTTGAAGTATCAGTACAAACTTCTCCAGCACCGACCTTATTTATTTAAATTTATCATTATTATTTTAAGATTTATTTATTTATTTACTGGAAAGTCAGATATACAGAGAAGAGGAGAGACAAGAGAGAAAGATCTCCCATCCACTGATTTATCCCCCAAGCAGCCACAATGGCCAGAGCTGCGCCAATCTAAAGCCAGGAGCCAGGAGCCTCTTCCAGGCCTCCCACACGGGTGCAGGGTCCCAAGGCTTTGGGCCATCCTCGACTGCTTTCCCAGGCCACGAGCAGGCAGCTGGATGGGAAGCAGAACCACCAGGACATGAACTGGTGTCCATATGGGATCCCGATGTGTGCAAGGTGAGGACTTCGGCTGCTACACTGCAGTGCAGGGCCGGAGCACTGACTTTAGATACGTATGATAATTCCCAGCCATGACAAACTTGAGAGTGTAGCACCCAAACTGAGGTGCTGAAATGCCATTTCCCACTAAAACACACATGAACTTCTCAAATAGTTACTTTCATATACAAGGCCAGACATGAGTAATCATTTGAGAACAGTTTTAAAATGTAAGCAGGTAATTGCTATAAAAGTCAGGGTGAGGCTGATGGGGGAAGTGAGAGCACCACAACTGGAATGAGGTGCCCACCTGAAAGGTACTTCTGGAAGAATAACAAGGATTTGTTTCTTGGGCTGGGCAATACTTTCTGACATGTTCACATTATAACGAAGCATAAATTTATTTTTTTTCCTTTCCATTAAATTTGATAGTAAAGATGCTTAACGCTCTTCCTCGCTCCCAAAACAAGAGGAAAAAAAATATGGAGGGAACAAATTTTTAACACTACAGATGAAAGAAAACATTTACTTTACCAATGAAAACACTGAGAGGCTCCAAAAATATCTAGGTGGAGCAGCAATGCATTTTCCTTTAAACTTGGGAATAAAAGTTTAATAATAAAGAGCTTATATTTGGGAAATAATCCAAAATCTACCAAAACCAACCTAAACACATGTTTCCTGTGAATAGTCAAAAAATGATTGTTGATGAAGATCCAAGAAATCAAGTAATCACTACAAAAACATGAGTAAAAACAAGTGGTTTTCAGATATGACACCTTAAAAACATAACTGAATACAAATTCTCAAACTCCTCTGTCAGGACGCAGTCCCTGCAGGTGAGCACCAACCAAGGCTGGGCACAGCCCGGACTAGGTCAGGTTACAACACCTGCCAGCATATGTGTTGGACAGCTCTGGGGACAAGCCAGGAAGGTGCATAATACCCTTTGGTAGATCTGAGAACCACCATGAAGGGGTGCAGGGCAGGCCAGGTTGGGTAGCAACACCAGCCAGCTCACATCAAGGCCAGGACTGGGGACAGGCAGGGCTAGGATGCAGGACCCACCAGCAAGAGCTGGAACTGGGGGGCAGACTGGGCTGAGTCAGGCTGCAGCATCCACTGGTAAAGGCTGAGGTGAGGCGGGCCAGACTGAGTTGCAGCACCCACCAGCACACATGAGACCAGAGGGTAAGGGGGATGGGGGGGGGGGGTGCGGGGGGGGCGGGACCTGAAAGGGCTTCTCTGCTGAGTCACTGCTCCTACTGGTGAGCGCAAGAGCTAGGACTGGGAACAAAACAGGTCAGGCAGGGCTACAACACCTGTTGGCCTGAATGTGTACCGGGTTAATGGAGAACCAGGCTGGGTTAACTGACTGTACTCACTGGTGCATGCAGAGGCCAGAGTAATAACAGGCTGGTTAGTGTTTACTGCAGCACTACCTGGAGAGTGCAAGATTCAGGACTGGGAATGAGCCTAGTATGGAAAACAGTGGGCACCTCTCTGATGGGCTGCAACTCCCACTGGTGAGCATGAGAACCAGAGCTGGGAGCAGGCCTGGCAAGCTGTGGCACCCATTGCTATGAGTGTGGGCTGGATAGTGGGGTCAGTTGGGTTGAGTTAGGTTTCAACACCAACTGGCATATAGAAGAGTTGAATGGGATGTGGGACAGACTGGACCAGTCTGCTGCACATACTGGCAAGCACAGGAACCAGGGCTGGGGATGAGCCTAGTGGAGCTTATTGGGGGTCATTCGGACTAGGTTGCAGCTCCTGCTGGTGTACATGAGGGCCACAGGTGTGGTGGGCATGGTTGCACGGGGCTGCAGCACCCACTGGTTTACATAAGAGATGGGGTTGAAAATAGAAAAGACCCAGAAATTGCAACTACCTGTATGTGTGTAGGTTGATGTGGTTGACAGAATGTGCTGGACCCTGTATTGGCAAACACACAAGAGTCAGGTATGGGATCATTTCAGACAAGGTTTCTTTGAAGATCCGCCCAACTCAACAGTTGAACTCAGAACTCCAACCATGGAGAGAAAAACAGGATCTGTGGTCTGACTATGGAGTGCATGTGTCAGAGCTGGGCCTCCTCAGTAGCTTAGAGGGAGTAGTGGATGGCATACCCAGATGCACATAAGAGGATACAGCAATCTGTTGGAGCCTGCAGAGAACATCTGGTACCACAGCAGAGGAAGGAGGGCAGAACAAACTGCTCAACTACCCCAGCCAACAGCCAAGTGTTGACAGCAAATATCTAGGTGAAAGGAGACTCTAAGGTTGACCATGTCAGCCAACGGACTTTGGAAGGATTCCTCCTGCTCAGATCGGCAAGATCAACAGCATTTCAGAACTATCAAAATCACTTGAGAAGAACACTCAGGGCAAGCCCCACATTGGGGACTCTGCGATGATGACATTAGATGGCCCTTTCCCATCCCCAGGTACTGAGGTGGTTGGGAGGCTGGATGTGGCTTTTCCCCTTTTCTCCCCCCTTCCCCCAGATACAGGAAGAATAAAGAGAAAATCTAAAAAAAAAAAAAATTATCAAATCAATTAAACCATCAAATGTTACAGTTTACATAAAGTTTAAACTACCAAAATAAATAGAAAAAGAATGTTATGACCTTGTCATTCACTTAATGATTAACACAATATCAATGTTGAAAAAAATTTTTTTTTCACTTAGCAAACACAAATTAGAAAAAAATAAGGCTATAGTATTCAAATCAAACATATCTAGAAAAATACTATTCTCTTCACAGTGTAGTTGGCTAACTAGAATTAAAGTAGAGAATATTATCTATCTAATCTCTGAAATTGCTGACCCTGGTAACTTTCTGTAATCTCACATTGTGATCTTTACAAGACACAGACAGTATGCTTTGTGAACCAGAATTCCATCACAGGATACCAAAGCAGGCTGCCCCACTGAGGATCATAAATCTCCAAACCAAG